TGACATGGAATTGGGGAAACATGTAGATTGTAGGGACTACTGTCACAAATTCAAGAACACAGACAGGACAGTTAAATCACAACTAAATAAAAGAAAGAGAAGAGAGAGAGAGAGAGAGAGAGAGAGAGAGAGAGAGAGAGAGAGAGAGACAGAGAGAGAGAGAGAGAGAGAGAGACAGAGAGAGAGAGAGAGAGACAGAGAGAGAGACAGAGAGACAGAGAGAGAGAGAGACAGAGAGAGAGAGAGAGAGAGACAGAGAGAGAGAGAGAGAGACAGAGAGAGAGAGAGAGAGAGAGAGAGAGAGAGAGAGAGAGAGAGAGAGAGAGAGAGAGAGAGAGAGAGAGAGAGAGAGAGAGAGAGAGAGAGAGAGAGAGAGAGAGAGAGAGAGAGAGAGAGAGAGAGAGAGAGAGAGAGAGAGAGAGAGAGAGAGAGAGAGAGAGAGAGAGAGAGAGAGAGAGAGAGAGAGAGAGAGAGAGAGAGAGAGAGAGAGAGAGAGAGAGAGAGAGAGAGAGAGAGAGAGACGGATACAAGGACGGTGATGAAGACAAAGACGCTGGTGGAGATGGAGATGGAGACGGAGATAGAGAAGGGAGACAGAGAGGAGAACGAGAAAGGGGGACGCTGGTTGCTGAAAGGGGGCGGAGGATGAGACGAAGCTAAGGGGAGGCATGGCGATCTTATCACCGAATTTTGCTGCGATGTGATTCGGGCCTCGGCGACAAATTCGTGGCTGAATCCGGCAGTGTATCGGGGCCTCAAAGACAGGTCACTTCAGATTACGCATGATGGGCGGGCAATGAAGCGAACGTACCTTGATAGTTGTTCTCCCACCGGTCTCGCAGCCTCGGATATCCGTGTATATCTTATAAATTGCCAAACGCCAGCCTGCTCACCAACCCACGTGCACCTCGCACGGCGACCGCGAAGCGAAAGGACAAAAAACGACGATGGCGGATATTGCGCACGCGCACGTCGGCGGGGAATTCAATTCCAGAACTGACGGGAGACGCTAGTCGCGCGGCCGCCGTATGACGAAGGTAGCTGCCAGAACTGCACGTGCAATGAGGTCATAATGAATGCTTGAATAATGCTGCTTTACGAAGTCATTAGCAAGTATCCGAAAACAAACCCGGCACTACTGCACTACAAAATGGACGAAATCCAGAAGCAAAGTAAAAACTAACTACGATCTTCTCATGCACTGGCTGTGACTTAGGCTTGTATACGTTCTGCGTTTGTCTTGATTTTGGCAAAGCCAAAGCAAGGAAAACCTTTGTGAACTTTTTTTTCAGTGAACTGGAAACGGCCGGTGGAAACGCGCGGCAGCCGCACCGCCAGCTCGGGCCCCGCGGAGTCCACCTGTCGGGCCGTGGCGGTCCCAATACTGGCGAAGTACTGGTTCACTGCGTCCGTGTCTGCGTCCGGTGAAGGTTTGGTCGTCGTCCGGTGAATACGTGTGGTTCGGAGAAATTTGTGTGAAAAATTGTGACAGAAAATATGTTCTCACATGTAGGTGCACATGCATCAACGGCCGCAGAACTTTAAATCCATCCTTTCTTAGGTTTGCCAGACTACAGTGATTTTAATGCTATTATCCAAAGCAGGCGATACGCCACGGAAACCTCCACAAGACTGTCGATAAACGAATCGACAGGAGTACTGGGCTGCTCGACTGCCGACAAGCCGCGACCCAACCCATCCTGTAAGGCTGATTATACATACACTTATACATCGTAGGTACAGTCTACAAGTAGTCGTACCATCTTTACACTGATAAAGGTTTGGTCGTATAACCACTGTCAGAGTCTTTGACTTGGCCAACGTGAAACAATCACACAATATTGGGCAGCGTTGCATTTTTGACATGATTGACACCACTCATGCATTTGGTTTTGATTTGTGTCAAAAAGGCATTAAAAAAGAAACGCCCGTCTCAGTCTCAACAGCTAGGAATTCTTCACCAGTTTTCAGTGCACATAATAAATTATTCAAATTGTTTGTTTTCCGACTATCGGTTCCTGGCGTCCTTATCCGATAACTTAGCAGAGTGAAAAGTTGTGTCACGCGTTCATTATATGGTAAACATTTTGACTTACCCAGATGTCTACGGGGTTTCTCGGCAGACCTTCCCCTGTAGCTCCCGCGAGTTGAGGTGTTCCGACACGGGAGTTCTGCTGTCGATAGGTACAACACACTAACACACTGACCGGGAACACCAAGACAGAGCACGGAACACCAGACTTTCCGAGCAGTAAGTACAGAGCACACGCGCACGTGCACACCGCGGAGAGACGCCTCACGAAGCCCACTCCCGGCCGGCGCTGCGCGCTCACTGGCGCGGCGACTGTCTGCTCGCGGTCGTCTTCCTCCACGGTCACCTGACGCCTGACGGAGGGCAGGGGAGGGGAGGGGAGGGTGTCGCGGAGGACAGGCCGACGCCACGCCCCCGGCGGTTCAGGTCGCGTTCACTTCGGCCGCCGATTTCTAACAAACCCTCATTCTCTTCGTGGAATCTGGCTTGGTAGGTATATACGCCGAACTGGTTTTAATAGCGAGGTGGTAGGTAATTGGGTGAAAACATGTAAAGAGCGGGGCCAGTGCAGCGGCTCATGTGTGTTGTGCAGGCTGGCTGTCTGGAACCTACTGAAAAGGTACTGATTACTTCTAATTGGAAATGATCGGCAGAAGTCAACCTTAGCGCCCTTAGCGGCATACAGGTGCTCCATATACCATAGGTATAGGATACATGGATATTGATATAAGTACATATATAGGTATAAGTACATTCTGCTTTCTTCGCAAAAGAAATTATTGGTAATGGTTTGCTTGTGGCACTGTGCCATTTGCCACATTGATTCGCTAGCTCCGTCTGTCCTCTATCGTCTATCCGTCGGTGGCAACCGCGTACTGCTGAGACCCACTGATATGTCGCCGAGTTATAGGTATATACTAGAGATGTCAATCGGATACCAACTTTTTGGTAACCGATACCAACTTGGCATTTGGTATTTCAATCCTAATGGTATTTTGTTGGTATCATGAGCCCTCATTTATGTATAAGAGGCTAAGAAATCGGTAAAAAGTTGGTATTTCCCTCATGTTCCCAAGTTGGTTTGGTTTCGGTAGTTCCCCAAGGTTTTGGTTCGTATTTGGTTTGGTATCGGTATTCCGATTTTCCGTAATTGACATCACTAGTATATACCCATGACCCCATGTCCCGGGAAGTGAGCACCCCAGGCCGATTCTCGCCGTATCACCATTTTTTGCTGTTTTCCATGTTAACTTAACCCTATGGTACATACACGTGAGCACTGAGTACGTGAGCCGAACTGGAAGGAACGCGACGGGGCGTGTTCCATTTCTAATCCGCCGGGTGCGTGGCGGCGGCCTGTCCGCCGCGGAGGACAGACGGACGTCGCGCCTCCGGCGGAATTGTGTCCCACTTTGGCCGACGACTTCTGGTAACCTCCGCTGCTCTTCGTGGAATTGGGGTTAGGGTATGCCGAACTGATTTCCATTGCGGGGTGGTAGGTATTGGGTGATTACGTGGAACCGACTGATTGAGATGAGCGGCTCCATGTGTGTTGTGCTGAGTAGTCGCTGATGACCGTACCTACCCAATTGAAAATGCTCGGCTGAAGTCAACATTAGTGATATCAGGTATGCAAGTGATCCATTCCCTTATTTAGGTAAGACGAGAAGGGTGACTGGAACAGCAAACAAATTATTCACGACCCCGTGATATATGTCTGCGAATTCAGTGAACCAATTAATTTGACACGACTCAGTGCAGAGTCGCAGACTGTGGTGCAAGTCATTGCACTACCATCACGTTGGCTATTACTGGGATCGCTAAGCGTGCTTCATTTAGAACCACCACGCAGGCTACATAAAAACCACTAATACGCTCATAGATTAATTTATAGGTACGCACCAACAAAGGATGCAGCCGCCGCAACGTCATGTGACCAAGCGTTCCGCGAAATCGTGTCTTCACGCTCTGAGAGAAAAGGCCTACACGGTGCGTCTCGCGGCTGCGTGCGCCGGTCCTCGCCCGATAGACCCGGACAGGATTCACGGCCCGAACAATGGCGGCGGAGTGCCGCGACCGGTGGCGGCCGCACGTCCCGGCTGCGGTCGGCTGGGAGGCCCCCGCACACGGCGCCTCCTGGGAGCCTCGTGCTGGCCACGTCCAGCTGGCTCTGATCTATTCGGTGCGTGTCCTTTGTGTTTGTGAAACGGCCGACACGGACAGAATCGCCGCCATTGACGGGAGAGGACAATCAGGGCGATATTGTCAGGGTAAGGCTGAATCATGGAGGCGATGTAAATATTATCTATTGGACCATGCCGTCTCTATCCTCTTCGCCGCTTACACTTTAAAACAATTTGCAATGTGCTGCCTAGGATGGATGCACTTTGGGGCATATTTATTGCCTAATGTCCATCGTCCATTGCCTGCCAGCATGTAGGTAACATAGATATAAAAGTAGATGTCAGGACCAGCCTCGACTATAATCAAAACATCCTGATTCTTACAGAAAAGCCATCATTATGTGTGCCATTATGCATGCCATCATTACGCATAATGGCACGCTCTGTGCGTACTGTGACTGTGACGCGGAACTCGTAACGCGCTGCGGTGCGAGCACGCGGTCCGCCCGGCCGACCGTTCCGGTCACCGATTCTGGTCAGGAAACGGTCTGTCGGCAGACCATGAACGTTTTCAATCCACCGAGCTCCAGCGTCTTCAGCGAAGAGAGCCGTGCTCCGGTGCACCAAGCACTGTGCTCCGGTTCCCGACCACGTGCTCCGGTGCTCAGAACAGAGCACCGCTGATTGGTGCTGAGCACAATGTTTTGCGTCACCGAGATGCTCTGCAGTCGCTCTTATACATATTTTATGGTGGTGAAGTCGAAATTAATTTAATGTAGTTGAGCACATAGCTTTGTAGTTGCCACGAGAGCATGGCGATCAGTCTTACCACTCATGTCAAAAGCTTATAAAGATGTCTCGTTGAGTTTTGCCGTCTTTATTAAGAAAATGAGTTCATTATACAAATGGTACAATGACATGTTTACAGGCGCTACGGGACATTGCTAAGACGCTCAACATTTTCTGGAGAAGAAATTCTTCATCTATTCAAGACGAGTTAGCAGTTAACGCATCTCATTTCAATCCACAATACAGTAGTTACTATATGGCTACGGTACCTACTTACTAATCGCTGGCTCGCGATCTGTGTAACAGGCTAGAAAAGGCCCTCGGTTTGATCAGATATACATTACTCAACACTCTCGACCCTCGAACAGGATCCACTGCCTTCGACCTGCTCGTCTCGGAGTATGTCTCACATTGCTCCAGTACGTGGGAACTCCGAGCAGTGCCGCCCGTGCCGCACCGGTCACGGAGTCCAGTCAGTGAGCTCATTATTGGTCTCCTCCGCCGCCTCGGCGCGGGAGTCGGCCGAGGCCGGCCGCGACGAGCCCGTCTGTTCAGCGCTCGTCCTGGTGCCGGATCCCTGCGCTCCGATTGGCTGCAGGCCGGCGATGTTGTCCTCCGTCAACTCGTTCGGCACCTCGTCTGAACACGGCGGCAGCGTCACCTGGTGAAACGTAAGGAAAATGAAATGGTCAGTTTCGGCTACGGTGGAATTCATGACAATAAAAATATCGTGGAGTAACTGTGTTTATGCAAAACGATCAGTAATCGATTAATGGTTAAGCCATCACATGTGTACAATAAAAACCGAACGAAATAAGCTGGTGAAAGTCTCTGAAGATGTGCAGCTAATGATAAATTGAGGCTAGGACTTAAAAAAAAAAAATGTTTGCAAAAAATGATCTGCCGTCTGACGTCCATATTTAACGTCCACATATGTCGTCCCGATCCTCAGTTTATAGTCGCTCACTGACCTGACTCAGGCTGTACGGGATGAACCGGCCCTTATCTGGACGAACCATGGCGCGCACCACGTAACTCTGACCCGGCGTTAGGTCGTCAAAGATCACCTCCACGCGCTTCCTGAAAAAGGTGAAAATGCGTGCTTCAGTTGCGTCACGTCCCAGGACAGAAAGGTAATTTTTAAGGCGGACGATAGCAATAGTTAAAATATCTCTTTAAAGTCAAATAAATTACCCGTATCTGAGTTATTTGATTATCGACAATAAGATACCTATTTGTGCATTATCTGCATAACCTGAGCCCGAAATTGTTCGCTAAGAACCGAGATCCACCGTACAGTTGACTGCAGAATAATGTTCCACTTTTCACGAGCAATAAGTTGCCTGGAGTGGTAGGCTGTGCCGCATTACACGGGCTGAGTGACATAGTTAAATGCTGTGTCCCACACCCAACGCTCACCATAGTCACGCTTAATTGCGCAACAAAAGGTGCATCTTAGCGTTCCAGTCAGCTGATAGCTTCCGGGAGTCGAACATCTATCTTTTTTTTTGACGGTTTGACGGAATTGCTTACGATGTAAAATAAATAAATAAATAAATCATCATTCTGCATGGTCAGCTGTACGGTAAGGCTAGGATTTCTTGTCAGTAGCTACTCAGCTAAAAAATAAACTGGTCTTGATAAACATTTTCGCTGAAGTTTCATTTGAATGTAAGGGCTTTTATTTCAGGACCACTAACGAACCGAATACGGCTCACAATATGTTCTATCAGGCCGGTGGAACAGCGAACTGAGTCCTACTAAGCCGGCAGTCGCTGAAGTTATCGTCATTCGTCAGCGCTACAGCCTACAACTTCCGCTGCCGGCCAATTTTCAGCGACAGTATAGGCCCTGATGTCGGGCGGCGAGACCGTATACCGAGGTGTAATAGCCTCTGTCTCGGTCGTCGCCCCGGCAGAAGACAGTCACTAACCGCCCGCCGCGGGACCGGGGCGGCGCCGGTTCGTGTCGCCTACTGTGCGACCGGCCAGTCACTGCGGGTGTATGCAGCAGCCCCTCGGCTGTGACCGTGCTGTGTCGCTGCCAGTCGACTGCCAGTCATCGCTCTGTGACTGCTGACTGCATGGAGACCCCGCAGGTGGTCGGACCACCTAACGGCACGGCGCTACAGGCAGCGCGATTATATCCACCCCTTGGTGCCGGGTGATGCAAGAGGTTCTTTTTTATATTGGAGCTGGTCGTTTTGCCATGAAAGTTGTACGTGATTGCACGATTATAACAACAATCTAGTTGTCAAATTCATGGCAGTAAATGCATAGATAGACTCTTAGATATTTAAATGAAATGAAATGAGAGAGATATTTAACATTAACGGTGAGCAATGGATTCCAAATCCATAAGCCACTTATTCGAAGCCACTTTGACGATCATGTTTCCTTACATGATCATCAAATGAGGAATAAGTCTCGAATGTAAGAGTGAACTAAGGAAATGTGAACGCTTTCATGCTCGCAACGGTTTCACATTCGCAACGAGCGTACCTATTTAGGTGCGCCGTTATAAATGCGAAACCTTAATCGTTTACCTAGTCAAAAGTCATATGAGCTGCGTTTAGTCGATTCTAACCGTTGCCGTGTTCCTTTCTACATACATTCAACTGCCATGATCATTTCAGTTCATGCCTATAGGCATTTTTGTTTCATTTATCTGTCTGCGGGCTGCAGCATAGCGTAGCATATAGCGTCGTTACCGACTCTCTTTGCAATAAGAAAGTCTCAACAAAAAAAGACTTTCGAGAATAGAAGAAGAGAAGCCGACCTCAACCAGGTTAGGTAATTATGCTACGTGCCGTAATGAATACGGTGGCGATTAAATACCGGCGGCGACTAGGAATCAAGCTATGCTCGGTGCCAGGATGATATGCTAATTAATTCTACTCCTGCAATGTGCAGTACTAAGGAAGTTATTACCGTAAGAGAAGCGGTGAATTAAAATACCAACGACCATGTCATGAGTTGACCCAAACTAGGATCCTGCAAGGTGGGCGACAGATATACAACGGAATAAATCGTATGGGTCTGCGAGGCTGAAAATTTAATGGCTGGCGGAAAATGTCATGTGTAGGTATCATAAATCAATAGTAAAATCCATCACTGTCCTTTTTCGAAGTCTCGCGAGACAGCAAACTGAGGTGGACCGACAAACAGATGCATGTTCCGGTGTCATGCATGTTGCATGCAGCCCGGGTAATTTACGGACGTGGTGTGCAGCGGGCCATCGGGCGCGAGGCGGGGCCTCAACTGCCGGTCATGCAGAGGTCGGGTGTGCACACTGGACATGACGAACGGAGGGAGGAGCGCAGCACGATCCACCCCACCGTGCTGCCCTCCTGCCCTCGATTGTACCGACTGTCGCGTTCTCAAACATATACCTATGGAGTCGGTATATGTTAGTGAGCCACCCTGCGGGTCGACGAGGACGTGGTGACACAACCCCTCTCCGCTCGTATCCATATCCATACAATATACATAGGAACGGCGCAGTATCGAACACTAAGGTCGACAATGGCTGAATATCTTACAGCATGCGATGTCCCAGCGTCCGACGGTTTCTTCTCGTGATTATGAGAGCTATGAAGCTATAAAGCATGTAAAAACGGTTTTCTCTATCTTTGTGTGCATTATGCTTACTCTGATTATGCATCGATAGGTTTATCTTCTAAAAACGAGACTGCTGTTCTTCCGTCGACCTAATACCGCATTGACCTTCCTTAAAGGAAATAGTTCACTTTTTAACATGGGTTTTGAACTGGAATAGCAGTTCCGTAGCTTGGGCTGAGACGAGCATAAATCAGGAGCTTTTACAGCCCAACGATCACCCTAGGCAAAGATATTCTATTTCTCGTCCCGAAAAAGGTGTCTTGCGGTGAGGATGTGTGCCTTGCATATATTTCCATCCAGTATGAAAAGAGCATGGGTCCCGAAAATTCTTCAGAAACTAGAGAAATTATCTACAAGAACTCTAGAGAAATTCTCGTACTGATCAATTAGGACATTCAGGGGAACATTATCAGATCGAGCAGATCGCCCAAATGCCGGTGGCTGCGATAATTTCTCTGTTTCTGAAGAATTTTCGGGACCCATGCTCTTTTCATACTGGATCGCGTGTGCCTTACAGAAACTGAAAAGTTCTTCCTATATCAAAATATAGAAAAAAATATTTTGTTATAAAAAGGTTTTATTTTCTTTGCTGATTATTTTGAACATAAAAAATCATAAATCGTTGCAAAAAAAAATAATTTCGTGAAAGTGAACTATTTCCTTTAAGCTTCACCGATTCGCCTGAGAACCCAATACTCCCCCTTCCAACATTATTCACCCCTTCCCCAGGTCCCGTTATACGCTTCCCGACCACTGACCTCCTGCGCAGCTGTTTGCTGGAGCCGCAGCGGGTCATGTTGGCCGGATGGTGCGCGTGCCGCAGCTCCAGACCGCACGCTGAGGGCGCCTTGAAGCGCCGGCCGGTCCGGCCAGTCGTGTCCAGCTCCAACAGCACGCAGTATTCGAGCCGCCGGCCCCGCGCCCGAGGCATCTGAAAGGATGGAGACGCGGGATAGAGACGGTGCTGGGATGGTCCGCGTTTCGATGGAGACTGATAACAGTCTAGAAAGATACCGGAATGCCATCGCATGCAATGGTAAGTTGTGATTACGATTCATTAGTTCTGATTATGTCGTTACCTGGCAATGCCGTTGAAATATCCATGCATTCGTGTACTCCAAGCAGGCGAACGAATTGTCAAAATGCTCTAGAGAATAATACCCTTTCGACCAATTCCGAAATCGTAACACATCTGAGACTCTGACGGCTCCCGTTCAATTGGAGCCATTTACGTCGGAGTGGCTCGTTTGATGGAATGTACCGTTACTTTACGACCCCATATTATCTGGCTGTGACTCCATAAGACCGGTGAGAAGCCTCATTCTGGCTCTAACTGTGAGGCCAGTGAGAGCCCTCACTCACACGCAGGGCCAGCTGAGAGCAGTTGAGGCCGAGCCGGGCCCTCCGGCGCGGTCCTGCGGCCCGCACCCGCGGCCGGCCCGGCAGGGAGGCCACGCGCAGTCGACCGCGCCTCCAAGTGGCCTGGAACTCGACAGTGGTGGCGCCGCCTGGTGCCGTCAGGTTGAACTGGTACCTGACGTTACCGACCGTCAGGCGGCTGCTGTTTAGGTCGCTCCGGATCAGCACGTCGCTGCTAATGTTGACCTCCTGCAGGAGGGGAGGGAGGGGGCGTTAGACAGTGGATCGGCCTGTTGGCAGTGGTGCAACTGTGACCTGGGCCTCGTTTCATAAAGCGAGTCCGTAACTTACGCCGGTTTTTGGTCTTTTATTGCAAGTGCATGTGAAGCGATGACGATAGTTTGAATCGTTGAAATTATTATTCTTACAAGCAAGAACAGAAGGGAGAAGGGGAAATAAATGTATCGCTTCACATGCGCTTACAATGCAAGTCCAAAAACCGGCGTAAGTTACGGACTCGCTTTATGAAACGAGGCCCAGGAGGGGGTCTTCGAACAGAGCGTAGTAACCGAGCGGACTGAGCTCAAAGATGGGACGGAGTTTGGACGGAGCCTGAGGCAGAGTCCTACACGACGGTCTGACCGTGCCAACATCCTGACCAGCTGGTCGACCCCATTCTCTATTCAGACCAGCAAAACAGTGGACTCGTCAGCGCTGAACAGTTTACCCTCACTCGCCTGAATTAGGACCGACTCGTCCGAGACCCCGGGACTGTTGTAGGTGCGGTTGACTTGCAGCGAGAGCGGCCCGCCGCACGGCACCACGAAGTAGTGTAGTCGTTCGTACTTGGCCGGTACGCGCAGCTCCAGAATTCGGAACGGTCGCCAAGGGGACAGGCGCAGCTTGGTCACGCGGTTCTGCCGGATCCGCATTGAGGTGCGCTCCGAGCGGTCCTGGTACCTGGAGGTCAGACGACAAACACGGTAAGAGGTCGGAGTCAGGTCAGGGTCAGGATCAGGGCTCAGGCAAGTCAGGTCAGGCGAGGAGTAATGGTCGAGGTCAGGTCAGGTCAGGGTCACCTGCGTCAGGTCAAGTTCGAGTAAGAGCTCTGTCAGGTCAGGCCAGAGCTGGGTTAGACCAAGTCGGTACCGGCGGTCAAATAAGATAACGGTCAGGTCAGAGCCGGGTCAGATTAGGTTAGCTCACGGCCAGGATCAGTTCATGGAATTTCATTCCATCGAGGTTCTACGAATGTCTTTCTTCTGCCATCCCACCGTAAGAAAGCCGCTCGCTCCCGGCCGGCCTCACCTGAACTCAGCCGTGCCGTACTGGAAGCTGACGCTCCGGTTGGCGTACTGTCCGAACACGGTCACAAAGTACTTCCGGCCGGGCAGCAGGTCGTACAGCGTGTACACGGTCGTCTTTCCCACGCAGCCGACCGTGATGCTGTCGTTGGGCTCGGGTCCCTGGCGGCGCGGCGGTGACGCCCCCTGCTGCCGTCTCCGGCGAGCCCCTCCACTCTCCGGCGGCTGCAGGCCGAACTTGGCGCTCAGACCACCGCACACAGAGCTGCGGGGAGAGGCAGCGAGTTATACCCGATAGTCTTAAAAGTAAAAAAATGAGCAGGCAGTCCTAGATGATCGCATTGCATAAAAAGCGAGTGCAAAATGTGACGACTGACGACAGTGAAATAATTATATAAGACGGTCATCTCTCCATCAACACCAACTGGTAAACAAATATAAATATCATTTGTCGGCACATGTAATGTATGTAATTGGGATGCAAATGCCCGAGCAATCTGCCTTATTCCATTATCATCGTCACGTCTTCACCTCCACTCTACCGGTCTGCTCGCACTGCGGTCGCACCTGAAGTGCTGCGTCGGTGATGTGATGAGACAGTAGCTGAGCGCCTGTCCACCGTGTGAGCCGGGCGACCAGCTGATCTCCGCGCGACTCTTACTGCGGCTGCGCACCTGTACCTTGGTCCGCAGGCTGCCTGAATATACGAAACACACAGCAAGAGCACGTCAGAAGGATACAATGTCCCGTTACAGAAAACTAACCATCTTGGGGCGTGTGTTTTAGTACGTTTATCATGGGACTGACACGCTGAGCTTGACGAATGTCGGCGATTTAAAAGTCCCGTCTGTATAAACGTTTCCATCCACAGATAAACAAAGCCCCCAAACATACACAAACACACCGAACTCGGTAAACATTGGCGTTACAGGCGTCCTTCTGACGTTTGCCCCATTGTCCCGGTGTTTCTGTTTATATATGGTTGTCCCGGTGGTTACAGTTACATATAATTATCCCGGTGGTATAAATGGCTGCCCCGATGGTAGATATGGTTACCGAGCCCGGCCAGGTCCTCATCCGTTGCCAGAAAGTGGACGTAGGTGTCGGCGCTGGACGAGATGTTGACGTCGTAGTCGCCCGTCAGGCCGCGCCGCGCCGAGTAGATGACCTGGTCCGGGCCGTTGATTGTCCGCAGCACCTCCCGTTTACCACCTTCTGCCGGAAAGGGATGGGGAGGGAGAGACGTAGCTCATTTAGCGATAGGGGTATGTTACTTTGGTTATGGTCGGCATATGGACGTTGAAGAGTGGGCATATGAGAGGTGATCATAGGATGACGATCATTTTACTCTTCCCTGTTGTGGTTTATTTACGTGTTTTTAGCTCAATTAGATTCCTGTCCATTGTTATGGCAAATGACATATATGGATATGAATGAAATGTTTTGCATAACTTTCCAGTGGCGGCGGAACACCTTCAATAATGGGGGGGGGGGGAGCACTGCCGACTTTTGATCCCATTCTTTCCATGCAACACCCATAGGGCTAATGGTAAAATGCCAAAATCAAAGGTAGGCACGGTGCCCCGGTGCCTCCCCCTCCCCGTTCCGCCGCCTGTGTAACTTTCCTCGGGCCATGACTATTGCCACTTGTTGAAATATTACCCGCCATACGTAAAGCTCCGCAGACAGATGGCCATTGATCGCACGTCATGCATCACGTTCATTATCCAGTGGCCGGCCCCTCTCAATCACCCGCTGAGTCTATCTATCCCGCTGCTTCCCCAGTTGCCGACTGCACCCGTCGCCAATATAACGAACGGCCTCGTTAGTCTGTGTGCCGACACCGACGGTGGCTACCACCGCCCCCGCCCCCGCCCCCGCCCGTGCTGATTGTGGGCGGCGCCGTGGTCGAGTCCGCCCACCGCCGCTCCTGACGGGTTGTGCCGCCCTCTCCCTCCCCATCTGTCCAGTGTCCACCCCGTCTCGACTTTCTCGCCCCGTGATGCTCTCAAGGTGTGCAGTCGTGAGACTGTCCGAGCTCAATGCACCCGTCAAGTTCTGACAAATACGCGTCCCGCCCTGTATGCAAAGGCACGTGATCGGCTGAGCCCGGGCGGTCCAAGACAGGCAAAAGAAGTGATTGGGATGCATCTCGCAAATCGCTTCCCTTCCCATCCCCAGAAGGATGACATCAGCAATGACCAACTGAAAGGATGCCAATGTCCAATACCATTCGAGAAGTAAAGTAGATGAACAAATGCAAAATAATTATTTCGGACAGGCGCAACGCTATTTATGAACGTTTCGATTATTCAGCGAATAGCGAAGTGTAGTCATTGCTGTCGGTAACTCGAGTAAAGGCCACTCAGCAGTAGCGAAAATACCTCTGCTTTGTCCGGACTTTATGGGGTTGATTCATAACTCACCTCTGATTTTATCCGGCTGAAATGTGATCTGCCCTCTCAGAGAGGCGGAGCACGGCGTCACCACTAGGGAAATGGCCACTCCGTCCCGACTCTGACGATATAAAAACCTATAAGGTGCAAAAGCAAAACGTCATTCAGTGTTCATTCAAATGCACCGAAGGGCATGATGGACGAGACGTCACCGTTCAAATAAACGAGATATAAATATCAGCCTCCGTATTGCGTATGACATACCTAACATCAATACCTAAACATTGATTGCTTCTTCACTAAGTTATTTTATTTCAGACGCCTCAATTCACCCGCCCAGTATGTACGTATATAACCTGTGCCCGTGACGTTCGTACCCTCACGTTGCATAACTCTCGGGGTGCCCACTCTCATCTCGTATCCTTTCACCATCCCAGCCCCGTCCATCTTCCCCACAGCACTGCCCATGGTATTTGGTGATCCAAACGTACCGTATGTGACTAACGTCCCTAACGTCCCGCCCGCGGCAAACCCATCCCACCGTCCTTCGGCGCCCACTGTAGCTTACCTCTTGTAGGTGCCGGCCGGGAGGAAGGCGGACACTTGTTTGTTGATGGGCAGCACGTGCTTCGGCTGCAGCTTCTTCTGACTAGCTGAGGCGGCTCGTAAGAGTCTCTCCTGTCCTGCAGTGGGCTCGCCGAAACTGACCTCCAGGTCACCTGGGTCATCGCTGTCGACCTCTAGGTTGTCCTGGCTGCGGTCATTGTTGGAGGCCGGTGCTGACGGATTCGCCAGCGATAGAAGCAGCGCTACAGTGACCTGGCAACAGACGGGAGAGCATAGGATAAATACGGTGTAACAGGGTATATCCATGGTCACATGCACTTATGATAATTAATCTATTTTTCGCACTTAGTATTAAAAGGAAGCAAACGTCAATCATGCGTAAATAATTTATTTCTTAGCTTATGCATGCATAAACTAAATCATAACGTTTATAAAAGGCGTTGCAGATTTGTTTGCACAGTTGCCCGCAGGACCCGGATTCCCGATTCACAGTTCACAGGGGATTCTAGGCCTTTTTATCTCTGACATTTGTCTACATATCCTCATATTTAACATATCTCATACAGGATCGACCTAGTTCAGACAAAAGGCGCCGCCTGAACGCCTCTGCAGAGGGTGTGAGGACGAAATTAGCGTTTTCGGTGAATAGGTCGATCACGGGCGTCTGGGTATGATGGAGGTGAGCCGGGCGACCCAGCTGATTTGTTACGGATGCGTTATGTTGTGTTGTGGAGCATGGAGACGGTAAAGCGTACCGTATACCGGCGCAGGATTTGCGTCTTCGTCAGGGTCCTTGGAGCAAGGCAGGAAGGTCACATGTATAGCACATGTGGCCTTCCATCCCACATTCCACACGCACCCTCGTTGATCAATTTGATCGAGTCTCATGACCCCGACACCGGCCCTGATTCTAAAAGTGATTTTGATTCGAAATCTCTTCCCCTGCCTGACCACTAAGGGTTCATGTGTCCCGAGTCCAAACTCTCTTCGGCCGCATCTCATGCGTAGTGCGTCTGAAACCGATAGTTCCCGTCCCCGAACACCAGGCAGACCTCACACCTTGGTGTGATGTGTGTGGGTATTCCGATTTATGGCTGCGTGGGCGGCGGTGGCGGACTGCACCCGTGGGCTCTTCATGTCTGACATCGGGAGCCACCCCCGCTCCTGTTCGCATCTGACTGATCTACGGACACTCGCCGGGGCTAACAGAACCGGCTAATCATGATCAACACAATAGCGGAGTTTTCATGTGGAATGCTCAGATCGGCACTTAATTTATTCACTAACTCAATCGTGTGCGATGTTCGGACTAAACGCTGAAATTGTTTGCCGACATGCCTCAGTGAACACGCTGGGTGGTCGCGACAGGCACCGAGCCGGAACCTTCCGCCGAATTTTCCCGAAGTCTGTCATCCTTCAAATCTACACCAATTAGTGATAATTAATTGAGCAATTAATGGATGTAAATAAACACGAGCGTCTGAGCAGAATCGTCTGTCACCCGTTGGTGTTTATCTTGGATCACTGGGTGAAGTATCGCGCGCCGCAGCTTTTGAAGTCGACTGAAATTATTTTGCATATACTTGTCGCGCAGGCCACTTGTAATTGAGTCACTAATCGTAAGAGCATGCATATTTTGTACTCGTCAACGGCTTAATTACGCTGAGTTAAATGTGATAAGTAGGTACCGTAGCCCGGCATAACTTCACATCTTTTCATCTTTAGCTTGCAATAATGACTTGCCATAAAAGATGCAGATAATCAAGCAAAATTAGCTAACATGTGCCAGTATCGTCGAATGATGGTCGAATGCATCCAACAAAGATGGTAAGCAGACATCGAAACACGTCTAAACCTACTGACACAGCTCTGTCGATTGTGCTCGTGCGATGTGGCGTATGGAGTTGTGCCGTCCTTCCGGTATACCGTCCGTATCTACATACCCGGTCCGATCTCTGCACCCGTGAACTGTTGTGTCACACCATTCCGGTCCAGAGACCAGCGGCCGGTCCCCGTCACCCCCATTCCTGCTCGGAGACTAGCCGGTGGCCCTCGATTGCCAGTTGGCATGCCAAACTGACGGTCGAGCTCTCCTCTCCTCTGCTCCTCTCCCTCGCCAGACAGAGGGTCAGGGCACGCTGGCGAAAACCAGCTGTCCCATTCCGCCATCGCTCCGTGGGGAACTGTGCCGTCGGGTGCCGTATCGCCCTGCAGCTGTGACGAGTGGCTGGCAGTCGTCCTGGCCTCCGTCCAACTCGGTGGCACGTTCACTGCAACGCTCCCGTCACCGCCGCCGCCGCCCGGGCTGCCGCGGCAGAGCCGGCCTGCAGCGGAGCGCTGCTGTGTAAACACGGGTCTCACCTGCTGGCGGCATTCTGCCGTGGCCCGGGGAACGGGGCCAGAGGTCGGCAGGCCAGCTCAGACGGACCGCGAACTGGGCCAATATGTCGGACGTCCGCAGCAGCGCCCCGGCCGCCAAATCGCACCCCGCCCACCCGGCCGCCCCGCGCCGAGATGACGTGCAAGAATTGGGCGCATATCATGCAATATGCAATACACATGGCTTAGATCACATGAGTAAGATAGCATATGCGTACCTTAAAATGATTTTTGTATTACTGCTACCGAATTGTGACGATGAAATCGAAGTAACGTTTCTTTTCAAATTAATTGTATTCCCTATGCTTAATGCATCATTTATAATCTGTCATCTTTAACATAACTTATCATTAATTGCTGTTAGGAAAATTGTAATTGATCTGTGTAATTGATAAAATTTATACGTTCATAAAATTATAAGATATCTTTATTGAATCCCACAACAATATATAAGCTAATATCGCCGTGTCACCGGCTAATTCGGCGTAGCCGACATTGGCGATCAGCCAGAGTCCAGGCCAGAAGACGGTGGCGTCAGGTGGACCGTTTAGTTTGTTTATCTGGCTTTAATTGGCACTCAGCGAGGCCCCGGTTCCCCGCGACACAAGCCAAAGTGTGACTAATGGTCTCGGTGACGCAACAGCTTTTTGGGGGAGCGGCGTGTTAAGTTGCAAATAGGTCATTTTACTCATTGGGATAAAAATACAATTAATAATATTAAATAATACTCATGTAAAAATGCAGGAAATTAATATTACGTAATCGTACTACACCCAGCCTGTGGGTACTTTATGATGACAATCTTACCCATGCTATGAAAGCACGTAAGCTACAACTCCCATGTTCGGTAGCAGCACCCGCTATAGCGTCTTGCCCTCGCTTGAAGCCCATGGGAGTGGCGTATGCCGACAGCGGCATCGCTTATTTAGTCTCGGATTAGCATGGGATGGTATATAATCTGCCATAATCTGCCCGTCTAAACGGCCCTGACGACGTTCCGATTTCTCGGGTATAGTGCCGCCTGCTTGTGTATTCCGGGCTTTCTCCCCTCCCCTCCCTCCATCTCTCGACCCCAGCGCGTGCGTCTCTCGTCCTGCCAAGCGGCGCGGTGCGAGCTGCTGGCATGGTGCTCAGTGTTCACTGTTCACATACCGGTGTGGGCGCCGGCCGACTCTGCGGAGCTGGGCGTCGGCCCGTCTGCAGCACTATAAAGCGTCATCAGAGCAGCCGCCTCCCGGATCGGGGTGCCGCCCAGGGCATCGGCGATTGATAACGCCCGATCGAGCCGCGGCCGAGGCCGGAGAGCGCACCATGGAGCCAGCTGGGAGGGAGGATTGGCACCGGCGTGCTCGAGCAGAAAACAGCGAGTCGTTTCTGCAGTCATTTAATCCGAATGCCTTAAAAATTGTTGTTAACCAATGAGGCATCCAGGCTACTATTAAGTCTTACTGTTGGGGTTATGATTTAACAGGGCACACATCTTAATAGGCTTTTATCGGAGGATCACACACTTATTTATCCGAATTGCTATTGATGCCCGTCTCTCTTGAGACCGGCATCAATAGCAATTCGGCAGTCGGCACACTGCACGTTTGTTTGTATTTTAAGTTGACTGAAGCTGACAGTTTCGAGTATCTCGACCTGGAGGGTGTCCCAGTCCCAGGACTAGTTGACCGATCGGTCCGCACATGACGACAGTGGGCGACAGAACATTGACGCAGTGGCGTGGTGATCGGCTGACCCAGCGGGCGGGACAGGGGGCGTCTGTGGGCCCTCAGTGTCGGGGACAGGCCGGCAGGTAGGTCATGGGACGGACCGGTAGACTGTTGGGGAGGATAGGGGCGCCAATGTGTCAGACGCTTGAGCATTGTCAGCAGGAGAGACATTGCTGGCATGGTCTGACAGAGTGCAGCAAAGGCGTAGCACATTCTCGGGCCACCGATAGGGGAATTTTATCACTGCGACAACTGACAGGCATTCTGGGACCGTGGCAGTGCTATTCTGCGACTGCGGCGGGTCGAGCTGCGGTGTGAGCCACCGCTCAGATTAGGGTGCCGGCCACGGCTGAGACGGGCCAACCCAACAGCAAAGGATGGGCATAGGAGAAGGAAAGGAGAAGACCTACAGGCTCGCTGTAGGTCTTGAATGACGTTGGTGTTAATGGTAAGCAGCTCGGGGAGCAATTCATGCATCCCAATAGTCGCACAATGCACACACGTCCCGTAGGAAACCGAACAGAAAGAGAGTCGGTCTATGCATGAGAAGTGACTTAGGTGCAGTTTTCCGCGATTATTTCATATTTAGGCTAAAATATGCAGCCACCTGCAGCTTTTACTGCACTCCTCAACATCTCCCACTGCCCTCGGTAGGCTGTTCAGCGTTCGCATTTGGTCTCGTACCAAATGCATTCCAAGTTACGTTACTTGGGCTTCAAAGAAACCTCGCCATTTTAGAACATGAATTATGGAGGTGGACTCACAAAGACTCGGCGCTGTACGTTTGGCAGCTGCCTAATTGACTGTTGCCGGAAGGTAATGGTTCGGGGAGGGTACAGTGCCGCCGCCGTGCCTTCAATTATCGCCGCCCGTCCAATACGGGTATTCGCCGGGAAGATTAATGTAAATTGTCTGTGGAAATCATCACGCCTCGCCCCCAGAGACGTTTAAATCACAATTAATCATCGGCGCCCAGTGCACGCTGTGGCTTAATCAACACTTGCGAAATGCCGCCGAGGTCGGGTATTGTCTAAACACAACGGTCTATAGTGATCGGCTAAATGTCGAGACGAATCTGGTTAAGTGACGCTACATCCGCGTGGTAAGGTTGATTCATGCAGACAAAGAGCAGCTTCCATATTGTGCACCGTTACATAA